TCACATGAGTAACTGAGTACTCACTGAGTAACAATACTCAGAAATTGTTAGTAGTACCAATATGAGTACTCATGGACGAATTATGAGTAAAGTCGTACTCATCGTATGAGTACTTTCACTAGGGTGATGCGAATCGTGAATGCTGGACGTACTTATTGTTTTTAACACATCCTAAGCATAGACGCACAGTGCCTAGAGATTAGTCACATCATCAGTGATCAAAAGTAATCTGAAATATGCACGCTTAAACCGATTAAATGTAAACTGGAATAGCAGCCATAACACACTACGTTACCTCATTCATCTTTCTCTCTAGCTGGTCCGTTGTTCGAGTAAACATATACGTATTGCCTTTGACTCACGATATCGTATCATTCATAAAAAGAGTCGCATTTACTGCATATATATAACTCAAGATTGTCAGCAAGAGAGACGAATGTTTTTCCTCGGCACTTTTGCTTGTACAAATTATTAGGAAAAAGAGAGTAGTCTGCTCGTTTCTGTTTTTTTCCTCTTTTCTCAATGCGACGAAATGGAAAAGAAATAAAATGAGAGTAATACTCGCATTTTTACATTACATATGTGTAGTTAACGAACAACAGAAAGAAACTCTGTAGAAAAAAGAAAGAAAATTCTTCCAGAAAAAGCTACAGAAGTCGACAAAGAAGAACATCAAACAAATGTCAAAAAAATTAGAGAAAATCAATCGTGTCTCTGCTTCTAATGTTTTCAGGCATCTTCAACCTTAAAGTCTTAATTTAAAGATGGTATTATTTATCTCAGAAAGTGCAATGCAGCCTTATTCTGCTCTATCGAACAGTACAAAAGCAATATTTGAGCACCTTTCATTTCAGAGAAAATGAGCTCGCAAAATTTTTCTTGCTGTCATTGCATCAATCGTGACGCCCATCGTGATACGATGATTCAGAGCTTACACTACGTAATCTCATTCACCTTCTCTGTACCTAGACCGTTGTTTGAGTAAACACATACGTGTTGCGCTTGACTCATGATTTTGGATCATTCATAAGGAGAGTCGCATTTACTGCATATATATAAATCAAGGTTGTCAACAAGAGAGATGGATGTTTTTTCTCGGCACTTTTGCATGTACAAATTATTAGGAAAAGAGAGTGTTTGCTTGATTCTGTTTTTTCTTCTTTTCTCATAGGCATCTAGCAAAAAAGAAAATATCTCTTCTCGGACAAGATATGCGTGTACAAACATTGCCACACATATGAAGATTACTTAACATGCATATAAATTTGAACTTTACACACATGTAACGTTGAACTTTATACAGTCAAGAAGGTAGAATTTTTGTCTTGATTTTGTAATTCATGATACTCTGATTGACTGAAATTCTATTTTGATTATGTCAGAATGATAAATTTGACGCCCAATTTTTATCCAATCTGGTTCAGCGCGGAGCAAGCACCAAATTTTCTAATGAATTTATTTTCTATGCGAAGATATAGGCCAATGTCATTCTTGGGACGAGTGATCACCAGCCCAATTCATATAAAATGGAAAGTATAGTGTTTAAGACAGAAGGCCTCTTCCCTATAACATCCTGGTCTTTGTATCAAGTTATTTTATAGTTACTACAGGATTTTTGGAAAGATAAACAAAATGAACCGACAGCGACGGAATGGTATGAATTGTATATTAAATTTTTGTCCGCACTTAAATCTAGATTGACAAAATATATTACCAGAGATAAATATAAATCGGCTTTACCCCAATTAGACATGCAATAATCCCAAACTGTCTTGTACTGAATCGCCACCAAAGGTTTAAAAAAAATAGTTTGTCAAAGCTAAGAACATGAGAACGAAGAAACACATGAAAGAAATCTTTGTAAAACAGAAAAAATGATGAAGATTACACCAGACGGAGGAGCAGCCTTGATTACGCCGTAGCCGTAGGTAGTCATGTAAAGAAAAGTTTGAATCAGAGCAGCAAATTTATGTTTACTTTGTTCCAGGAAGTTGAAAGTACCTGCAAAACATCCGTTCACGCTAACAACGCCAAAAGACTTTTATTCTACCCCTCATCTTCAGGTCATCTAAGGTGCATCTGTTGTATCGTCCGCTATAGTACGTAGTTTCGTGTGGTGATGACTGGGAGAAGAGAAAAAAGAAAGTTGTTTCTTCTTTCTTTTCTGTCTCTACCAGTAAAGAACACTCTACTTATTATTAGGAGTAATCCTCCTTTCTTATATACCACACAACACAACCATCATCGCTCTTGTTATTCCTTGATCAACATCTGTTGATACTCACAACAAGATGATAAGAGCTGGTCAAAAGGAGCTAAAAGGAAGAAATCTTTTCTTTCTTGCTCTTACTGGTGCTCTTAGTCTTCTTTTCCAACTATCAGGGAGGTAAACGAACAAATGCTGGTTTCTTCGAAACTGACACGAGTTTTCCACGTTTGTCTGATATCTGCTATCTACACAATAAGATTGTTTAACGGATTATATTATTGGCCCTTCTCCATATCTCTCGAGCAATCAACAGAAGAGGTTCGCTCTCTTTTGTTTTCCTTTACAACGCTGTACTTATGTTCCGATGCCAAAGCTGGTCTTATTAAAGAATTTCTTCTTCTGCCTTGCAGGTGTCGAGAATATCTTTTTTTAACAGACACAAAACTCTTGCTTCTTTCATTTTCTATTTTCGCAGTTACTGACTGCATATTCAGAATATGCCTCAAGATCCCGGAAAAAAATCTGGCAGAAAACCCGGATTTTTTTTTCTATGAGGTGGTGTCTATCGTTATTTTAGATAAATTTTTTTGAACTTTTTGTGAGGTGGAGTTCATTGTTTTTGACGATGTTTGTTCAAAATCTGTCGAGAATCAGGAATCTTGTCGGGATTTAGTGAAGAGGTAAGAAATACTTTCTTCTTACGAATGTGCACTATCGTTAAGAGTGCATATTTTTTAGTACAAAAAAAGTTCTAAATCGTTCTATTCTGTCGCATTTTACTTATTTTCTAGATAATTGCAAAGTAACAGCAACATGGGTAATACCAGCGGTACAAGGGATGCGCCTCTTGAATATGCTCAGCAAGGTGTCCACGAAAAGTTTGGCCGCTGCACTTATGGTACAACGTTGAATGATGATCGAACAACTGCCACCTTTTCTACGACAGGTGCAGAAGAACTACACGGCGACTGCCAAGTGCTCTCTGGACGACTTTCCTATGCAAGCGGCTGTCATCGTATAAGAATTAGAATTGAACAACTTCGTCCGTTCAGCTACTTTTCGCAGCCTAAACTATATGTTGGAATCAGCAATGCTCGGGTAAATTTAGGAGGGGATATTGGAGGTTACTGGCACAATATCGAAGACAATGATGTCTTTGAACTCAATATGAATTGTGATCAACGTTTGATTCGGGTGGTGGGCAGTGATGGAAGAGAACGACGTGCCAATGTTGATTTAAACGAGTATCCGTTGCCATGGCAGCTAAGATTAGCTGTGAGGGGGAGCTCAGGCGTGGCTCGCCTGTTGCCTTAAGAAAAGACAAAGTTGTTTGATACATATAAAACTAGACGTTTGTTTAAGGTCTTTATCGATGGCTCATAAATATGTTATAGAGGCGAAAATAGTTTTTTACTTTGTTCGAAACTAAATATGTTGGTCCAGAATTTTCACATTGAATGAAAAGACAGATATCTTAATTTTTTGATCTGACAACATCGTGCAATTACCTTTAGATAGCTACCCTCACGCGGTATTCATTTTTTTCAACTTAACTTTGATCCCTTTGGAAAGGTTCAAGCTAACTTGAATCACTCGAAGCGTGTCGTCCCCAGGACTACATGACAAAAAAATACCAATTAAAATCAACCACAAGTTCGCTTGACGATATTAAAAGTAGAAAAAGCGCCGCGGACTCTAAAACTTCTGCACAACTTATTTTTACCGAATCAGATCGTGTCTTGAAGGAGAAGAGGCTTGTTCACTCAGTCAACAGATGTAAACTGAAATCAAACAGGTTCATCGAGAAGTGAGTTATTTAGATTATTGTAATAGTTTCCAGCTAAAGAAGTTGTTTTGATTAATGTTGACCCTTGTGCAATCGATACACACTGCCTATTCTTCACTCATGTGCCAGCGACAACAAACCAGGTAATTGATTGGGATTGAGAAGGAAGAACATAATGAAATGAGTTTATTGAACGTACTCTTCCTTTCTGTACATTTTGTTTTCATTCAGTGAAGTTGTGGATCGCGAAGCGGCCTTCTTCAGACTATGTGCAACTGAATGAGACACCCTCTCTCTCTCGCACAAATCTCTTGTTCCTTCCTTTTTGTTCTTAAGAATGACATCAATCAAATTAGTGAAGAGGGAGCCCCCACCCGTTTTTTTCCAGCAGTTTGTGCAGGATACTTCGAAGTATACATCTCAACAAAGCTTTCAGTTCCCGGATTTATAGTTTTTGATTAAAAAAAATTTTAAGTTTTATTCGGGTTTTTTGCCCTAATTTTAAAATTTCAATAAAAACTTCATTTTTTGATATGAAGAGTTGATTCTAGCGTAGTTCGATAGAGAACATTAAGTTGTTTAAGGAGAAAAACTTTACATCGTTCCCAAATAAAGTTTGACGGAGAAATTTAACTTTCACCTTCCCGAGGAAATTTTAGAGCTAAAAGTATTTTGAAAAAAGCCTTACGGCTAGTTTCGCTCGAAGCAAGCATTTTGAAACAAAACTCTTGATACAAAAGTTGTTCAGAATCGAATACCGGAGTCCCTCACGAGAGCTTTTTTTAAAAGTTTCTTTTTTTGCTTTTTAAATTGAAAAATATGAAATTTTAGGATTTTAAAAACAAAAAACAAAAAATTTTAAAAAATGCTCTCGTGAGGGACTGCAGAATTTGATTCTGAAGAAACTTTTGTACCAAAAGTTTTGCTGTCGTCGATGTCTCTGACGAGAAAAATATAAACTATCGTATTTACAATCTTCGTCCGAACACGTTCAATAGCGATCCGGTAGAAGACATATTCGCTCACATTGTGCATTAGTTAATCTATTTTCTCACTGGTTACTTCCTTCAAGAGGTTCAATTTCATTCAATTTGCCTTTAGTCCCGATCAGGCATGCAATCATCCCAAGCTAGGGCTCGCTGATCGGCAGCGAACATGTTCAGTAGCGAACCGTTTGGTGACCCAACTACCGGTTTGGTGCATGCCTAACCCCAATACATCTTGGGAAAACTAAAATATATTCGAAAAGTTCGAAATTTATATTACCGTTACCATTTTGAAGCCGATAGAATTGCTCTTCGAAATTTAACGCGAGAAGTTAGAAAAGATTTAGCTCTGTATAAGTCGTCTAGATGGAATAGTTTTCTATCATCTATAAATAATGCTCACGAGCAATCCAAAACAATTTTTATCTATCACTAATCTATCGTCAAAAAACGTTATCAATTTCTAAATTACTAATAAAAAATGAAGTTATTTCAAATAAAAATTTGATTGTAGATGGACTTTTTGATTATTATAAAGAACAGTTCCTTCCTAAAGTGTCAGGGATGGTGAAGCAGAAGTTCGAGGACATTAATACGATAATGGATAACTGTCAAGAGCCAATCAATAAAGCTTCAGTAACATGGAAATCGACAAAAAGGATGATTTTAAATAAATTGAAAACATGTATACCCAGCCCTAGTCAAAGTCGTCCTATCTCATTACTTTCAACGCATTCAAAAATATACGAGAAAATTTTATTAGTACGTATCAAAACTTGGGTCGATTATAATCATATTTTACCGATAGAGCAATCTGGATTTAGGCAAAAACGTTTACTGCAAACAAGGGTTTTATCAATGTATAAAAACATTAATAATAACCTTTGTGCGAATGTTTCGTCGCTGGCAATTTACGTGGACTATAAAAAAGCATATGATCGTGTCGTGCATGAAATTTTTATTACAAAACTATTTAAATTAGGTATGCCGTTGAATTTATTGACAGTGGTTTGAAACTAGCTTAGAGGCCGTAAAGCTGGAATTGTTTATGGAAGATGTAATTCCGAATTTTTTCTTATTGTAACAGATCTGCCACAAGGCAACTCACTATCACCTATGCTGTTTATTATATTTCATTGCGATCTACCGAATAAATTTGGAGCACATTCAAATCATTTACTTATCAGTGGTTATCACACCTCCTTTAAGACCAAATGTCGGTGAAATGTTGAAATTTTTAGAAGAAGAAGGAAATCAGAGTTTGCGAAAGAACTGTAAATCATACAGTTATTCACGAGCAACCTATTAATTACAATAAAACGGTTTTTCAGATCTTCCATAAATAAGTGGCGAGACCAATGATTTCACTTTTTATGGACGGTTTTTCTCTTGAGCAAGTAAAGTGGTTTAAATATTTGGGGTGCATATGGATCGAGAAGTGGTTTTTGTGGTTTCCATGGATGACACGATCAAAAAAATTCAAAAATCATACGATAAATTGAAGTGGTTGTCTAAGTCAAATGAAGTCTCGATTAAATTGAACAGAAAATATTTCTTTACATATTCATTTCCTTTCTTCTCCGGCCTTTTCTCCATTTTTACCGAAACTCATCTAGCGTCGCTAAATCATAAATTTCGGGTTGGTATGAGACTAGTTTACCGTTGCCCGTTGCTGATGCTGAGGAACTTTTCGAATTATGTAGAGAAGATGAATTGAAATTTTATGTAGTAAAGTATCTTAAAAAAAGACTTGAACATTGCTACGACTCGGACCTCTGCTCCTTCCCAATTCTCGACGATGTTTTCTATTGGGATAATTTTAAACCAAATAAAGATCAGAACTTAGTTCACTTCTTTTCGTTGAAAAGAGTCAAGAAGCTCATAAACAGTCATGAGTCAGTGCTAATATCATGGATAAGTTTGATTTATTTTTTTCTTTTGCTGTATTCATATAACATTGTTATAGCATATGTTATATATAAGAACATATAAGATAGGAAGATAGATATAAGAATTGTTATAAAAACAGTTAACTTCTTGAAATTCGTTTTTTAAAGAAGAGGAAATAGGGATTTTTCTTAATGAAGAAATGATTTATTGTATCTGCGTTATTTAAAAGATCATTCCTGCAGTTATTTGTTTATACTTGTAGTAAAGGGCAGTTCCTTTTAGAGTTAATGTCAGAAAGTGAAGTTCTGGTTGAAAAGTAAAAGTTTAAAGTAAAGTTGAATGTTGGACACGTATTGCATTTAAATTCACTAATGAACCATTTTATAAGATAATCCATCGCATTACCTGAAATACGCATTGACTGCATAAAGTTTAAACAGAAAGTACTAATATATCTACTATTAAACTGGTTACTATATGTTTTATTCGTCGGTGTTCGAAGTTGTACACCGAACAAAAAGATAAATCTGTTTGTTCTAAAGCCAAGATTTAGTCCACTGCCTTTTCGAGTTTCGATGGGGCTATATTATTTAGACTACTTTCTATCATTTTTCAATCAAACAAATAAATAAAAGTACAACAAGGTTCTTTGTGTATCATCCTCTTGCCAGTACATTCCTCTAATATTTTAAGCAAAAATTTCTAATAAACAAGTTCTTCTAGAAGCCTTTTCACGGTTACTGCAATGCTGAACAAAGTCGATTTCAATTCAATGATTTTTCGGTGCCAGTACACATCGGTGCTGTTGTTGTTGTTTATTTGAAATTGCTAAGAATTTTTTATCACCTACGGTTACAGTGAAACCATTGATGTACATACTCTCTTTTAACACACATTAGGAACGATTGTTTTTAGTGATATATAGTTTTACAGCTATTTTTATATACAATTTGTATGTATCTCATATCTCTTTTTTCTTTTAATAATTTTACTAAAAATATTTTTTTATATATTATATAATTAGAATAGATTTTGAAGATAAAGTTTCTTATTCATTTCGAAAAACTATGCCAAAAGTTAAGTGCATAGGCCGTAGTCGTTGGAAAGCGAAAGGCAAGTACAAATGCTACTCTGTAGAATGGCTCGTAAAACATCTCCAAAATAACGGAAAACTGCAAGATGCATGCAAAGATGCGAGCACCATAGAAGTCAATCTATGCGGCAGTTGTTACAATGAAGCCCTACACAAAAAAAATGGAGACAACGACGAAGAAATGCAAGTGGACGACAATGAAGAATCACTCAATAGCACTACTGTCAAATATTTAGGAGAAACCCACAATCGCTGTATTATCTGTGAATCAACTAACACTCCACAACTCGTTCTCTCAGACCAAGCTCGCCAAGACTTGCTAATGTTTCATCATCTACTAGTATTGCCGGGAGTTCGCTGCTGTGAGCAACACTTGATCAACAAAACTCGAATTCAGCCGAATCTTCAAGTTAAACGTCGAAATAAGCTGAAGAGCTTGAAAAAAATTACTAAAAGCTGTTCGGAGAAAAGTGTAGCTATTATGGACCATTTTCTTAAGCTGATACAACAAGTAAGCAAATATTAATGCACTGTAAAAAAATAATTCAAAGTGTATAAC